CCCAGACTCCCCTGCCCTGCAGCCCTGCCGCTGGGGGGCGGGGTGGGGGGGTGTCCCTGGTGCCAGGGCAGTTCAGAGAGGGGAAGGGTGTCGTCAGGCCAGGGAGGACTCTGGGCTCCAGTGCACACGGGAGGGACAGCTGCCCTCTGCCCCTCGCCTGCTACTCTGACAGCAAGTCGTGCTGCTCATTGGACAAAGGCTTGGGCTCAGGTGCTGTGGGCCAGGCCTGCTCCCATTGCTGCACATGGTGGATCCTCCCAACCCCCGGTGGGTGGCTATGATTCTAAAGACTGCGGAGGGTAGGTAACTGGCCCCAGGCCACACAGCTGAGAAGTGACTTCCCATCAGTAAAGGTGGCCCCTGCTGTTGGGTTTGGAGTGGGGAGATTACAGAGTTTAGGGGGTTTTCTCAGCCAATGGAAGGGAGACGCTAGCACTCTGAGAGGGAGGAGGGTACTCAGAGCTGCAAGTCTCTGCCTCAGCCACCGTCCTTTCCCCGAAGCTCAGCCCCCTCCTCCACCGTAAGCCCAGATTGAGCGCTGCTTAGAGGCCTGGTGGGGTAGTGGTTTTGCGTTGGGCTGCTAACCACAGGGTCAGCAGTTTGAATCCACCAGCCGCTCCTTGGGAGAAAGACAAGGCTTTCTACTCCTGCCAAGAGTTACAGCCTTGGAAATCCACAGGTGCCATTCTACCTTGTCGTTCAGGGTTGCCGTGAGTCGGCGTGCACCGATGGCAGGGAGTTTGGGGTTTGGTTTGGGTGGAGGGAGAGAGGGAGGGAGGTCGCAGGGAACATGTGCGCTGAGTCTGGCCTTGATCATGTGTCCACTCTAGTGGGGACTGTACAGGGGGAGGGGGGGTGAGGAATGTCATCCAGGGGAGGAAACAGGGGTCACTCAGACTTCAGGCCCACCTGCTCCGTGTCACCCCCGCCCCTGCCACTCAGGACTCTGGGCCCTCCACCCACACAGACCCTGGGACCTGGAGGCAGGCTCTGAGGGAAACTGAGGCCCAGAGTCAGCAGAGGCAATGGGACATCCCCTATTTGTTCTCTCTCAATCGCTCTTCTGACACAGTCTCTTTGTCTCTCTTACTATCTCTGTCTGTCTCTGTCATTGTCTGTCTCTTGGCACCTCTCACACCAAATGATCCACTATCTCTCTCCCTCACAGAAATGGGTGGGAGCCCCCTTCACAGCCTCTACCCTGGAGCTTCGACCTGGGCCTCCTGGGGCACCCTTGACCCTGGAGGGGCGGAGTAGCTGCCCATCGGAGAGTCCTGCCAAGGGGCTGACGCCCACCGCACTGCCAGAGCCTGCGACCCTGCTGGGAGCCCACGGGCTGCCCGAACCCGTCTTCTGGGGCCCTGTCCGCTTTATGGCCAGCTCTGCATATAGTGAGGAGAAGGACCGGCCGTACGGCGTGGTGTCCATCGACACTGTGACCGTGGCGGACACAGAGGGACCGTGCACCTGGACCTGCAGCTGTGGGGATGACGGCTACCCAGCCCTGAATCTGGATGCCAGCCTGGACCCTGGTCTGGGCACCGAAGACCCCCTCTTGGGCACGGCGGCCCCCGTCCTCTCCTGCGGCTGTGCCTCTCTGGCCACCCCTCCCGGGATGGGGAGCTTTCTGGACAGGCTTGACCTGCCCCTGGTGGGCACAGCAGACTGGGCCCCGGAGCCGCCCTGGGGCGTCTCGGACAGTGAGGCAGGGTCGCCCCAGGCCGCCCTGGATATGGACACGTTTGACAGTGGCTTTGCGGGCTCCGACTGCGGCAGCCCGGTGGAGGGCGGCTTCCCCAGCCCCCAGGACGAGGGGCCTCCTAGGAGCTACCTGCGCCAGTGGGTGGTCATGCCTCCTCCGCCCACAGACCCTGGGACCCAGGCCAGCTAGGGAGAGACTGGCTGCCCAGTGCGAGCCCTGCCATGGCCGTGAGCGAGCTGGGACCTCGGACGGATGGCAGTGTTTGCTTTCATGACCGGCATCTGAGCCCAGCGTCACGTGTGTGTGAGGGTGTGCTCTCGCGCACGCACACAGGACTCAACTTGCACACTGTGAAGCCACAAGTGTGAGCAGCCTTCGGGTCTGTGGCCTGGGGACACGCCCACGGCACCTGCACTCCACGTGTGTCCTCCCTCCCTTGTGTGCAGGGCTCGGGGCCAGCTGGCCTCCCTGGTGTCCTGCCTACAAGGGCTGCCTGGGACACTGTGGGGAAGAGGGAGTGGGGGGCTCCCGGGCTTAGGTCCCAGTGTGGATGTGGATGTGGCTGTCTCCTGTCTGCACAGCACCCGCCTCCCTTTCCCCACGTGATCTCCCTCGGGGAGAACTCCGTGGTCACCTGCGTCTGTCCCCAGGTCCTCGTAGCCTAGCAGACCCCCGTCCTCGTCAACTTCCTTCCTCTGCGGCCAGCTCCGAGCTGGCTCCGGAGGTGGGTGGGGTGAGAAAGCAGCCCGCAGCGACCGCCGCGCCTGTGGGGGCTGTCCCCCCATTGGAGGGGCACTGGGGGGTTTCCGGACTGAAAGCCAGTCAGCCTCCTTGCTCACAGGCGCCCTCACTTCACCCCACGGGGCTGTGTTCTCAGATCCCTGCTAACCCCAGTCCCCATTCCCAGTGTGCACCTCTGTTGACTGAGCACCGAAGTTGAGCCGGGCGTCTGCCGGGTGCCGGGATGCCCGGTGTGAGCAGGGCAAGTGGAAGAAGTGGCGGGTTTGAACCTTGTGCTCCGGGCTGCACGCTGGCCATTCTGGGGAGCCTGGAGAGCTGAATCAGGCGCTGTCTGGGATCTCAGAGCGCCTGTTGGAGTGCATGGTGGTTGGTGGGAGCCTCAGAACCCTGTCTGAGCAGCATTCTGAAGGCGCCTCCCTGGACACTGTACGCCCACCAGCGGCCGCCGCCGAGTCCAGTCCGGCCTCACAGCTGCCCTGTGGGGTAGGACGGAGCAGCAGGCCCCAGAGAGCTTCCAGGGCTCTACGTCTCTCCCAGAGCAGCCTCCGCCATCTTCTGAAGAGCAGCTTTGAACCGTCCACCTTCGGTTAGCAGCCCAGCACTTAACTCACTGCACTACCAGGGCCCCTCCGTGCAGGCCTTGGATTGGGGAGCTGGAAATAGCATAGAAATTTTGCCTTTTAAGTGATCATAATCATAATAAAATGGACCACGTTCCCTCTAAGGAGCTTGGCTTTTTCAGGACCAAGCAGGTTAGGCCGCAGAGCGCCTGCACCAGGCCTCCTGCCCTCGGGGGCCCTGGCCAGAAAGCGGCAGCCCGTGTCCCCATCCCCAGGGTCAGCCTGTGAGGACGCCTGGGGAGGGCGCTCTGCCGGGAATCAGTCCTGCTGAAAGTGTCCCGGTGCCTCATCTGTAAAACGGGTGGCTGGGAGGGGTGCATGCACAGCTGGGAAGTTCTGGAACCTGAGATCAGGTGTGTGAGACTCAGACGAGGGAAACCACAGTTCCCCATGGGTGAGCGGCCATCACGACTGACTGACCGAAGACTCTCGGGTCAAGGTATGCTGTGGTTTTCACACCCCCTTGGGGACCACAGTTTCCAGGTGTCACCTGAGGCCCAGGCTGCTGGTGACTCAGCCCACCTCGCAGCCATAATGGAGTGGGGGTTGGGGCACCAGCCCTACGGTTTGACTGGGGTCCTGATATGGGTCGGGTGTGACTTCTCACCCATGCTACTTGGACGGCAACTCAGCTCATAAACTTGAGTGTAGAAAGGTGGGGACAAGGACCGACCCACCTAGGAAAAACAAACAAACAAACAAAAAATGACAAACAAGGCCATTCAGTGGATGCCGACTCCTAGCGATCCTACAGGACAGAGTCCAATGGCTCCTGTGGGTTTCTGAGACGACCATTCATCCTCAGGGAAGCAGACAGCCTCATCTTTCTCCCATGGAGCAGCTGGTAGCTTTGAACTGCTGGCCTTGCAGGAAGCAGCCCACTGCACAACCCACTAGGACACCAGGGCTCCCAGCCCGTCTGGATTCACGCACAGCCATCAAGGAAGTCAATTCTAACTCAGTGACCCCTATAGGGCAGGGGATCTGTAGAAGTCTCAAGTTTTTAACTGCTGACCCAGCAGACTGCAGCCTAGCGGTCACCACTCCTGCCACCAGGGTCCCTTACACCTGGAAAGGTAGCTCAGTGAGTAGGTGGTGCATGGATGATACGCAGGTGAGCAGGAGGGGGTGGGGTAGATGAATGGGCACGTGTGTTGATAAGTGGGTACATGAATGGGCACCTAGGTGGGCGGGTGGACCAATGAATGAGTGGAGAGGATGGCTGTTTGGTCTCGTAGGAACTGCCAGCGAGGAGCCCAGAATGCTTGAGGCCCGAACGGCTGGGCAGGTGGGTGGGTGGAGACCAGAGGATGCTCTATGAGAATCTCGGCCCTTTTCTCTCTCAGTCCCCAGGCTGCAGACAGTAAAAAGAACTGCCCTTGAGTTGATTCTGACGTACACTGATTTAATAGATTAGAACCGTCTGCCCACCCCCACCTCCTGCCGCCCCGAGGGTCTCCCAGCCTGTCAAATCTGGACAGAAGCTGGTGGGTTTGAACGGCCGCACTTTCCATTGGTAGCTGAGCCCTTAACCGCTCTGCCACCAGGGCTCCTTGGGCACATAGAGGGACTCTCAGAAGCCTGGGCGTCTATGTCTGTCTATATATGTCTGTCAGACAAGTCCAAGCTACCAAGGCGAAGATACGAAACATGGAGTTGGGATGAGATGCGACCCATCGACGCTCCTGGGCTGGTCTAAGCTGGCTCCAGCCTATTCCTGGTGGGGGCCCAAAGGGGCACGGCAGCCTCAGGTGTGTGTGTGTGAGTGTGTGTGTGTGTGTGTGTGTGAAGCTTCAGGGAGACAGCTGGGTTTTGTTGGACTTTGAAAAATGAATAGATGTTACAAGTATCCATGCTAATACTCCAGGAAGGGCTGGAGTAAGGGTCTGGCAGTGTGACGTGTGACCAGGCGGTGGACTGGGATATGTGGGAGAGGCAGGCCTGGGGAACAGGCGGGGAGGGCAGCTTGCTGTCAGCCCAGGCCAGGCCAGTAGAGCTACGGACGCTTCAGACAAGGGATGTGGACAGCAGCATCCGTCCCAGGATGTACCTTTTGCTCCTAGTGCAGCCCTTTTCTATCTCCCAGCTCTGAAGGCACAGGGGTGATGGCTCCACCTGACCCAGGAGGGAGTGAAGGGTCTGCCTGTGGTCGGAGTCGGAACTGAACCACCTGAGGTCTCCCCAGCCCGTTTCAGTCCCTTCTCACCTTGCTCTGCTGGGCACAATCGCCAGCCAGACCGAGGCTCCACACAAACACCTGCAGATGCCTGCTCCTTTGGCCCAAGCAGCATCCTTGCAGGGGTGGCTGGCCAACCCCTCTGCATGCAGGTCAAGGAGTAGCTGCAAGCCTGACCACTAGAGGTTTCCATCCCACTGACCACAGTGCCAGTTCAGGGACAGACGTGTGGCCCAAGCGGCTGCCTACTCTCTCCTCTGCTGGGATTTTAGAGACGTGGGACGTGCTGGGAACATCAGCACCTGCTCGAGGTGGAGAAGACACCCCGCAAAGCAGAGCTGAGAGGTGGTCACCGGTTCCGGGAAGCATCTTTCGAGCACCCTGATCAGGCCATGCCTGAAACCATTCCCTCTTGGCCTTTTCAATCTATGAGCATGCAGATATGAATGTGGTCCCCCAGAGAGTTCCACCCCTTGGGCTTCTGGGCACATGGCAGGGCCGTGCTCCAGGCAGGGAGACGGGAACACCTCGCCAGAGCTGGCCCAGGAGTTTATGGGCAGAAGGTCGCTTTGAGAACGGGGACGGAATGGACTCTGTGCCAATGTCCACTACTGTCTTCGATGGCGGCTACTCCGTCAGCCCAGGCCACCTCGAGTTCACCTGCAGGGGACACGTGTTGTGGGTGAGAAAGAAATCCTTTGTTTTTCTAAGGCTACTAAGACTCAGAGCCACTTGTTTCCCATGGCCTGTGGGCCCCGGTGTCAGACTGGTTACACAGGGGGCTGCAACCCGAGAGGTCGACAGTTTGGAATCAGCGCCCCGGGAGAAAGACGGGGATTGCTACTCCTATAAACAGTTACTGCCAGTCCCACCCTGTCCTACAAGGGAGGGTCACTATGGGTCGGCTGGGCCCTGTGGCAGTGAGTTCAGTGTTTGCTTCCGTGGCCAACCCCAGCCCATGTGGACTGAGGGACCGGGCTGGTGGATTTCACTTTTAGCCTCAGCTGCTCTGAGCTGGGTCTCTGTCGCCTGCAGCATAGCGTCCCGCATCCTGGTCTCACGAACATCCCTACACCGAGGGCTCTCCCATCCGAAGGGAGCAGAGCCCATCCTCTGCTCCGTCACTTCTCAGGCAAGTCACTTGCTGTCTCTGAGCCTCCGTTTCCTCGTTTGTGGCTGAGGTGGGGGTTGGGGTGGGGGCAGGCGGCGCACAGTCTGGATTTGCTGAAGAGAGAATGAGGTCAGGAACACTGGAAGCCCCTGCTAGATGCCTGTGGGCTCCTTGGCCCAGGAGCCCCTTCACGGCTGAAGCTTCCAGTGCCCTCTGCAGGGCCTTCCTGAGCTCTGCCTCTGGCCCGCAGCCCTGACAGCAGGGGCTGGGCTTGCGGGTGCTGTGTGGGTGCCCCAGGTGGTCTCCTCTGGGAAGGAGGAGGGAAATGGAGGCCTAGAGAGGGCGGTCACTTGCCCAGAGTCCCAGGCTCTTCCTCTGGCCACCGCCTGGGGCTCCAGCAACCCATGAGCCCAGCCACACACCGATCAGGACTGTGACTGGACACGGACAAACTGGGCAGGGCGCACCTCCCGCCGGGAGCTGGGGGAGCCCTCAGCAAAGGGGAGAAGCATCAAGGCCAGCCGTGAAAATTAGAAGACAA